TTTAATAGGTCAAAATTTAGTTCAGCATTTATCCATTATGATGCTGTGCTTGCTAAAAGTTTGGCTATGAGTAGTAGAAAATTCAAAATAACAATGGCTTAAAAAGATAAAAGTTTATTTCTCTCTCAAATAAAACCTGAGAGGGAGCCGGCCCGGTGGCGCAAGCCATTAAGTGCGCGCACTCTACTGCGGCAGCCCGGGGTTCGCTGGTTTGGATCCCGGGCACGCACCGACGCACTGCTTAGCAAGCCATGCTGTGGGGGCGTCCCATATAAAGTAGAGGAAGATGGGCATGGATGTTAGCCCAGGGCCAGTCTTCCTCAGCAAAAAAAAAGAGGAGGATTAGCAGATGTTAGCTCAGGGCCGATCTTCCTCACACACACAAAAAAAAGAGTACATATGTATGATTCCATTTACGTGAGTTCTAGAGTAGACAAAATGAATCGTGGTGGTAGGAATCAGAGCAGAGGTTGCTGCTGGGAGCAGATTGACTGGGAAGCTGCATGAGAGAACTTTCTGGGTGATAGAATTGTTCTGTATCGTGATATGTATGTAAGTTACATGGGTGTATATATTTGTCAAAACTGATCAAACTATTAATTTTACTTGTGTATGTTATATCTCAATAAAAATGAAGAAATAGTTTCATGGAAATACCCCATGCCCCAACATTCTCATTTCGGTGTCATTTCCTTTCATTTCCTTTCCTGTCTACCCAAGAGGAACATTCACACGTGAGCACTAGGAAGCAGGCTAGCAAGGATTTCACTGTAGCTTTGCGTAATACCCAGATATTTACAGCACCTAAGCATCCCTCAATATGAGAGCATTACATAAACTCTGATATGTCACACTAGTCATACTGTCCAACAGTTAGAGCTCTATGTACTGGCCTGGGGAGCTCTCCACGACTTATAGTTAAGAGATGGAAGCAGAATAAAATGTACAGTGTGATACCACTTATGATTATAAGGGGAAGAAAGATTTCTGTAAGTACATGTAACATCTGGAAAGACAGTAGAACATTTGGGAGAATACAAAGCAAATGTAAACAGTGGTGCCTTTTGAGGGAAGTGCCTGGGGTTGGGAGTTGGGAGAGGACTAGAGACGTTTGATTTTTTTTTTTTTTTAACAACGAGAAGATATTCATGATTTTCTTTTTAGTTACATGAAATTTTGCAGTGTTTAAGAGAAAATGTTGAATTGTGTCAGATTCCATTCAGAAAATGTACATACTGGTGTTCTGAAAGAACTAAAAGCCAGGATTTCCCTTTTTCTCCAGGTCACTCAGTACTTGCTTGACAAAGCCCTCATCATAGATGAAGATACGCTGTATGAGCTGTCGCTAAAAATTGAACCTCGGCTCCCTGCTTGAGGATTCGGCCTTGCCCCTGAATCCATCAAATTTTCATGGAAAGCAGGATGGACAGAACTGTGCATGCCATGCCTCCCATGGTGCAGCAAGGACCGGGGAGGGAGACGAAGCCAGTCTCCCTTGTCCACAGAAGAAGCCGGAACCGAACTGGACTTCTGTGTTCTCCAGGCAGGGGAGCCCAGCTGTTTGGGGTCAAAGACAGACTCGGGTGGGAAGGTGAAAAGATTGCTATTTGGTAAAGCTGATGGCATGTTTTGCACAAGGGAATGTAAGATGGGAGATGCTGGTAGGCATTGTAATGAAGCAGGTAAGAAGATGAATTTCAAGCCTGCCACATGTTCTGTTAGAACTCAGGGACAAGGATCCATGGAAAAGACCTGTGATGTTTCTCTGCCACTTTACTGGCCTGGGTACACCCACCAATATCCTCCTAGGATTTAACTGCTTCCTTTACGTTTCCCTTGTTACAAGCTTCCAGAAAAGCCGAGGCTTCCTCTGTAGGGATGGACTAACACATAAGCACTTTCAGTCTATAGCATGTGCATGGTCTTCAGTGCATCATAGACATTTATATTGGAGGAATAGCATGTTCTGAAACTGCTTTTTCAGTCCTTAGGCAACAGGACATTAAAGACAGGATGAAAAACAAGTGGACTGTATGTAACACTTCCTTAATTAAGAACTCAGTGGGCTGTGCCCTCGGGATTCCAGCCAGTGGCCATCTTGAGGTGGTGGTGGGGGCTTCTTCCTGTGGCTGTGGTGCCCAAGAGGCCAATGCCCTTGCAGAGGCAGGTGCAGAGTTTGCAAAAGAGTGCCCCGGGCACCTCACCGGCCGAACTGTGGGATAAGACAGAACGCCACAGAGTGCGGTGGGAGGAGCAGGTTTCGATGTGAATTGAAAAGATACCCCCCTCATAGTAATGTGGGAATCTGTTCTGATTTGCGCAAACCATTCTTCGGCTCACTATGAACATTGGTTGCATTTTTTAAAAAGTTGTTCAGTGGGATTTTCTTTTTAAAACCCACACTTCTGTGTGCTGTTGGTAGACAGTTCTTCCCCAGTCATCTTTGTTTGTAAATTTCGAGATATTTCTGAGTGAAAATATTGTCAGTATGTGGGAAATGGGCCCAGCCACTCAACAGCTCTCTGTCACAAAACTTAATGCAGGAGGGGGTCCTGCTACCCTAGGCTGGGGAGTGACCTCACGTTTCCCAGGATTGTTGGTTATCGAAGATATAGGGCTGTCTCATGTTTACCTCCCTCTTCTCTTCTCAGGGAGACCTCTGCTTTAAAAGAAGGAAGAGAAAAAATACAAAGTTATTGTTACCTGAATTGCACCTGACATTTTCTCTTAGAGGCATGAAGCGTGTTGATGCTGTCAGTGAAACAATTGATCTGTCTGGCTGTTTTCCCTCTTTCTTTGCACTTTAATTATGTTGTTAGAGCTAACAGCTGACTAATAAATTCAACTTGCTGGGTCATAAGACCCAGTGGAAGTGCTAGCATTGATAATGTACCATAGAGGTGGAGAATGTATGTTTTTGCTGCACGGTAAGGGCCATCTCTGTACATAAATCTATAGTGAAATATCAAGTAAGTACAAGAAAATATTATAATATTTGAAGACCATTCCAAAAATATTTCCAATAGCTCATATTAGCCAACAGTGTAGCACTAAACCCAAAGAGGGTTACTTATGGATGCTTTATTTTTCTTTTTTAAAAAAAGTTGCTTGTTTGTTCTTCTTCGTTTCAAATAAGAGGTTGATGCATCTTGATGCATGATCAGAAGCATGGGTTGTTTAGATCCTAACGATGCATAACTTGCAATTCATTTCTCAGTGTTCAGAAACTGAGGGTTTGAACTAATATATGTCCATTGCATCAAACACCTCAAAGTCTCGCAGAAGAAAAGGAAAGGAAAGGTTAACTATCTTGGCTCAAAAATATAGTCTTGGAAAGTGAACTAAAACCGGGGCAAATCAGTGAAGGGCCACACATAGGAGTTTCAAGCAAAACAAAACGTGTGGAAAGGTCAACGCACTCAACTCGGCCTGGGTGTCCCCAAGTTCTTCTAGAGGGGAGAGGGTGGTTCTGAGTGCACTTTCCCTGGAAGTTTGGACTCTTACTTCTCTGACCCAAATGTGCCAGAGGCACTGCAGCCATTCTTATTAAAGAAAGACAGGAGGTAGAGGAATTTCCAGATGCTCCTCCCCTTTCGGGAAGGCAGGTTTTCCTCAACTAGTGGCAAAGCTTTCACACCTATTTCCTGCAGAATGCTGGAAGCGCCCCCGGGGCCAGCGGTGGGCACTGTCAGCTGCTATGCTGTCAGCGTTTTATTGCGAGTTACACGGCCCTCCCAAGTCCCGGAGTCTGAAGGCTTGCTGGAGCTGCAGGAGAAAGAATGCCTCCTCCAGGGGAGCTCCTTTGACGACTTGCACCATTTCTGGGCCGGCGGGAATAGGAATGCACATGTTTTAAAAACCTCAATTTGGTCACATTTAAAATCCCCAAGAGCAGTTTGCCGTGTTTCTTCTGATTGTTAAAGCGCCCATCCTCTTCTGCCTTTCACGCTTTGTGTGTATTGTTAGAGCGTGCACTCCCAGCTGTGTCCGCCTGTATTCCATTATATGAGACCCATTTCTAAGAGTAGATGGGGTGTCAGCCTCCAACGGCCAAGTAGCAAACACTTACATTATTGCAAAATTAACCTAGAAAATCAGAAGTAAAATCCAATTTCATGCTTTCAGATGAATACCCACATTTTGTGCTGTCAATGAAGTTATCTTAGGGCTTTTAGAGGATGCCTTTGGTTATTAACTAAGACATCCAGTTTTGCTACAGGGACAAATCTCTTACTTAAGCCAATATATTATGTGACAGATTCAGGCATGAAGTTGAATGTTGTCACTTTTCCTTAGTGTTCTCTGAAGGAATTTAAAGTGGGAATTTTAAACTACTGTTGCAATATTTTCAAGTGGCTCTCACATAAAGTCCCCATTACTGTTTGTTAAATTTCAGTATATCTTAAAGTACTACTTAAAAACAAATGAAACTCAGAGATACCGAATAACCTGGAAGAGAACAATCCATTACGTTCCAGTGTGGAGCGTGTATATGATGGACCAGCACCTTTTCCTCTCTCATGGTTTTATACGGGGCAAAACCTTGGGGTGACATTGATCAGGCCACTTTTAAATTCTTATCTAAAAAGAGTAATGCAATAGAAGGGTTATTCCCAATAAAATTAACTTTTATTTTAAAACAAAGTATTTTATTTAACTTTTCAAAGTTTGATTTTGTTTTCTCTGAAAAAAGTCTTTCCTTTCACTTTAAAGTGTAAGATTTTTTTTTATCCACCTTGTAAAGTTTACCATTTTTACTACTATTGAAATGGGATAAAAGATAACATATTATTTATGGCTAAAGAATGGAGCCAGGCTAATGTCCACAGCCAGAAGAATAAATGAATATAATTCATTTTCATTTCAGTAAGACAACAGATTGTAAATTTAAATAATGGCTGGATGACAGACGCCACTGTATGAATCCTGGTACTAAGACTTGAGTCAGTGAAATCTAATCAGAGTGTCATTTCTCCGTGCCTGTTAGTGACTTAAATTAAGGCAGGGCAGAGCTAAGGTAGGAAAACAACCATTTTGTTGTAGGTATAACAATGTGAATAATTCAGAGAAGTATTCATCTTGGCTTCCACACAGCATGACATTAACATTATTGTTGATTGTGTTGACCTCATCTTCTCAAGAAAAGTAATAGTTCTATTATTGATGTTGAACCACTGTCTTTTACACAACCCATTTCATTTTCCCCAGAAAGGCAGTTGTGAAAGAGCACTGGACTAGGCGTCCTGGCCTTGAGTTCTAGGCCCAGATCTACATCTACAAGCTGGGCAACCTTAGGCCAGTGCTGAAACCTCTCTGAGCCTCAGTTTCCTCATCTGCAAAATGGAGTTAATATTAATTCCTGTGCTGCCTACCTCACAGGGCTGTCATGAGGACAAAATGGGTTCAGCTACCAACTGTAAAGTGCTGTCCAAATGTGAGGTAACATGATTACCATCCTCATCTCTCTTTTGCAGAGGATTTAAATGTATTTCTTTGTTATTTGTGTGTGTGTGTGATGGACAAACCCATGTGTTCCTTTGAGAAGCGTATCGTTTGTGTCCAGTTACTTTGGAAATCAGCTGACATTTGTGATTCCGACAGAGGGGTTTGTGCTGTGGCCTGATATTTGCTGGGTGAGGTGTGGAGTATGCCTATATGCAAATTAAACTTCGCCTTTCTTGAATTCTCAACATCTCATTAGTCTCTTCATTTAATTCTTTTCGTATTCTTCTATATTGTCGTCTTCATAGCAATGAGCTCCTTCAGATATTCCTTTATTTCTAAATTCAGGGGGAAAAAAAGTGTAGAAGAAGCCCATGTTGCAGGCACTAGAATATCAGAGAATTTGGGGGAAAAGATATTAAGACCATTAGGATCTGGTCCCACTCTCTTCCCAGTGCTTAAATCTTTCATGTGACATTCCCAGCCCATGTTTGACTACCTCCAGGCGCACAGAACTCACTATTGCCCGAACAGCTTGTTCATCTAAAGGCAGCTCAACGCTTGTGAAAGGCTGTGGAGAGAGGAAAAGCTGCTGAGGGGAGACCTGGCCCAGCCATCAGTGGCTCCAACCTAGGGTGGGCTCCTGAGCCTTCTGAGGCTGAGTTCCTCATCTATAAAATAAGACTCAACTCTGCCCCTAGAATTACTGCAATGGTTACATGGAATAATATATATGAAAATACTTTAACTTTTGTCAAGTAGATGAAGTTGTCCTAACATTTAGAGCTGAAGAGAACCTGATGCAGTTGTTGAGCACAAGAGAGAGCTGAGGAAAGGAAGAATGTGGGTCCCACGGGCTTCCTTTTCCAGTTCTGAAATGAGCAGTCAGGCTGGTGGGGATTCAGGAACCCGGGTTCCTTTCATCTTACTACTCGGCCATCCCACACGGCATAGCCCTTGCCTGCCCGGCAAAGCTGGGTCCTGCTACATCCAGGCTCCAGCAGGATTCAGGAATGGAGAGGAAAGTCAGCCCAGGACAGGAGATTTCCTGTAAAGCAAGTGATGAGGCAGCTGCATACTTGACTTCTGTTCCCGTCCCTATGGCAAGAGCAGCCCCATGACCACACACTGGCCACTGCGTGTGGATAGAACCCCTGAACTTCGAAGGGAGTTGGCAGCAACGATGAGAGAGGAATAAATGGCATAGGACAGGGATCACGTTTGAAGGATTTTCAGAAATTTGGAATTTCTGCAGTGAATCACTTGCAGAGGTTACCACCCCTATGATCCCACCTTTATAATAAGCTCAAAGATGACCAGGAGCCCCCTTTTCTTAACAATACCCCAACTTATCTTCTGACCTTACTCTCTAACTCATTATATAAATTACACTGTAAAAAATGAGAGGTTGAGGTAAGGGGTGTTGTGTGTGTGTGTGGGGTGCTAAATGTCCATTAGTAAGGAATTGGGAAAAAAGAAAAAGAGGAGGAGTTTCTCATTGTAACTGCCATTTTTTAAACTCTACGTTTGCATGCGTTTCAAAAGCCTCATCATTTTCTGGGTGTGGGATCTGGGC